ACCTCATCGCTGCCAGCCTGTATAACCAACAGCGGGTAGTAGTCCGAAGGCCGCACCAGATCAGGGAGCTTCCTAGCAATGTCTCTGACCCGGGCCCCAGGGAGGCAGCAGACTTCCCTGTGGGACGGGTCCAGTCGGCATATAGGGCCCTCTGTTCCCCTCGGAAGGGAATCGCCTATGACAATTACCCTCCTTTTTTTCTTGGCAGAGGCAGTCATAATGCGTGGGGCTGACTGCCTCACCCTGGGCAACCTCCTGGATGGACCTTCATCTACATCCTCATTTCCCTCCTTCGCCTTCTAGTATATCTTTGTATACAACACTCTAAGGAAAAAAAAAGATGTTTTGGTTAGTTTGTTATTCCATAACTGTTGGCTCTGCAGATTCAGCCAGGGATCTGAATCTTTCCTTCCTACCTGTCCTTTGTAGCAAAACTTCTTCAGCTTCTATTACGATTTTAACAAGTTCCCAAGTGCAGCTTGCTCACATGCCACCCCTCTGCCCAACCTGCTGGCCATGGCACCTACAGCCCGGCTATGCATGGAAGAGCCGGGCTGGGCTGCTCAGACAATATTCATGCACTCCTTTGCTTTGTTTACAAGTTCTAGCAGCAATAAGCTTGCTGCAGTCTAGAAACTGCTGCTTTCTAATGGGCCTGAGTATTTATCATCTTCAGTAAATTTGCACAAGCATCACTGATGCCAGCGTAATGACCCATGGTGAGGGCAATGCCACAGGGCAGAGAGAGCCCTGCTTGCTGTCTTGGTACCTCCTGTGCTTATAAAACAAATGCATTGGCAACCGCAGCAGTTTGCTGGGGAATCCTGTGATTTGGTGTGTTGTTTAAAGGCTCACTCCTGGAATCAAATTATTAACTGAGTTTCTTGGCTTTTACTTAAAAACAATCCATTTCTAGCCCAAGAGAGAAAATGGAAATGACTGCAGCCACATCTGTGAAAGGTTCCAAAATAAGTAGATCGCCATTGTTATGTGGCTCTTCTTGTTGTTCTTAATCTGATGGACTTTTTGCCAATCTCATGATATTTGGAGTCCCACCTCCTGGGTTTGAAACACATGGGATTGGCAGCACTTGTCCATTCAAATCTCAAGTCCCCGCTGAGTGAGCCCAGGGAGGAGAGCAACTTTTCAGGCAAGCCTGGGAGAAAGAGCTGTGCTGGGAGCTCGCAGCAAAGCTACCAGATGGAGTGATTAGGAAACTCTTGCATAAGGGAGTAACAGCAGGGAATCTGTTCCCTTTTTCTGGGTATAGCTTTGCTCAGGTCAGGGAAGAAGAGACAAAAAGTTAAATAAAATAACATAGGGGCTTGGAGACACCTGGTTAAGCATTTTATTCCTCTATGCTTTTCCCCATAGTGCCATGTCACGGCAAGAAACCCCCAAGACAAGAGGAGGTGAATCAGGCAGTGAAGGCATTTCTCTGAATCGCCGTAGCCTGGGGTGCCCAGCTGCTGTACACAGCGCTGCCGGGGAAGACATTTCTTCCCATCTGGAAGAAATCAGAACGGAAAATATTTGCGTTAAAAATAAAAGGATAAAAATAGCAATACAAAGAAAGAGGAAACTTCGCCTTTTGCACAACAAGTACAACCCATGTCCCGACCGCTTGTGCTCTTTAAAGAGCGTGGCATTTGCAGGAGCAGTGCGATGGTAGCCCTGGGGGCTGCTCAACAGCAGGGTCACCCCAGGAGGGGGCTTCATCCCAGCGGCAAGTGAAGGGACTCCACAAACTTGTAGTTCAGCTGGAGGGAGAGAACCAGCACTCCTCAGATGGCTGGTCTAGGTCTTTGAAATGCCACTGATTTCTGTGCCATTCCTCCTCTTTAGTACTGGCATAAGGGAGCAAAGAATCAGGGCCCCCATCTCTATCACCCCTGCAAAAAGATGTTACAGTATTTCCAAAAAGCAGTGAGCAATGCACAACCCACTAGCAAAGCCAAAAACGGGGCTAATCGTGAGGTTGCCTGCTGAGCACTGATTTTCTCCTCTTCATTTCCAAAGCTAAATTCAGTTAGGGGGCTCCCTGGGAGGACATGGAGGAGAATCTGATTGTTCCTGTGGGGGTAAAACCAGGTGGACTCCTCACAGCATCTCCTGTCCCAGGGACTGCCCAGCTCGGGGACTGAATTTAGGTGCTTAAGTTAGGGCAACATAATTGTTAGGACAATTATAGGACTCTATAGTCAAGAGCTTAGAGCCAGTTTGTGGAAAAGCCTGCCTTCCAGGTGAGCTTCTTAATTTAGGTATCTATGTTTATATTGATTTGGAACAAGCAACTCTGGTTGTGGAGTCACACTCAGTGTTAATAATGATTTGAGAAGAGAATATTTTTAAGCACTTAGGGAAAAAAGGAATCTTTTGTATCCATTACTAAATGGAAATTGCATATGCATAAAAATAATGCAGAAAAGGCAGAAATATATGATAATTTTTTCTTCGGTTCCAGTCTGAGGGAACTGAACATCATTATGGTGAAATTTCAACAGGAACAGTATATTAAACAGCTGTTCCTAAGCATAGACTTCTAAAATATGTATGCACATGATTTGTCTTCAAGAGTTTTAAAAGAGCTGGCTGAGAGGTTCTCCAAATTCTTAATGTCACTTTTTATTTAGTCTTGAAACTCCGAGGAAGGCTCCTAATGCCATGACAAAAATTAAAAGAGGAAGTAGGTAATTGCAGCCCTAGTGACCTAATGCAGATCTCAGTAAAAATAGTGGGGAGCTGATACAGCCTGAATAATAAAGAATTTAGGAAGGGAATATAATTAATGTCAGGCAACATGGGCTGAGGTAAAAGAATCTTTTCAAACTAGCATGGTATTTTTTTCAATGAAACCACAACTTTGATAAAGGTAATAGTTGTTCAGGTAATGTCCTTTAAAACATCTGACTTTGTACTGCCTGTTTTGGTTGAGAAACTAGAGTGATACAAAATTAACATAGCACATAAGGAAATGGCTGATAGGTCTCCAGATATCACTGTAAACAGGCTGTGTGATTGCAACCAAAAGGACAAACAGTATGAGATGATGTTGAACAAGGAAAAAAGAGCTTACTTTACATCCATGTTGGAGATGTGCAAGAGCTATTACTGTGACCAGCTGTGGTGTACAGCCTTGAAATCAAATGTTGAAAACTAAGTTCTGAAAAGAGCTTAGAAGGACAGAAGCAAAAGGAAGTCCTTCCAGAAGGTCTGGAAAACATGCCACACACTGAGACTGATGTATTTGGAGAACGCTGCAGGCATGATCACAGTCTTGGAGCACCTGTGCGGTAAGAAGGAATTGGTGATGGACCAACTAATAAAATTAATCACACAGACTAATATATAATAAAATTTGATGATGAAGTCAAAGTTAGTCAAATTCAGTCTGGTTTTGTTGTACGTACAAAGGATCAAACCAAGGCAGTGTCCCATGTCCAACAATTGCTACGGGTTGCTACCTGTGAAATAGCAAAGCTCCAGGGCTGTATGTTCCTCCGTTCTCCTCTGGGAGAGTCTCAGGGAATTTCTGAAATGTGGTGGTACCTTGGTAGCAAGCCATTCAACAGCTTTTCTCACACTTTGGGAGCCACCCAAAGTGGTACAAGAATTTAGCTTGCACTGTGCCATGTGGCAAAGATTTCCTTGGCTGACCCACACATTGTGTGAAGAAACATCTCCTTTCGTTTGCCTTGAAACCTGACTTCTCCGAGCTGCACTTCTTGTAGGGTTTGTACTGGAAGCAACAGTAGCAAAGGGAATTAAGCTGTGGAGCAGCTGATGGTGTGCAGAGCGGGGTTCTCCTCAGTGCCATCTACACTGGCTGTGTTTAGAAAACGTTTGGTCTTCTTCAACCAATCTCTCAGGGATTAATTCAGAGCCTTAGAGCCTTGCACTGCATAAACAATCAACCTACATTGCATAAATGACTTATTGTGGCCTCAAAATAGAGACTATATAGCTGCAAATCTGCTACAGAAGTGAGCTTGTGTTGAGGTTTGGAGGCTGAATAGAAACCTCTCTTCTTGTGATACATTGGCAAATGTCAGGTACAGGAAAATCCTCCACTGGGCAGAATTAGCCATGAATGGTAGATTCATGCCAACTTATAACTTCTAGTTTTCTGACGTACAAAAGGTGATGTTCATGTGCAGCAAATGCCTGTACATCAGGTATCAACGTGTGGCTCCCTCATGGGCAAGTCAGCTTCTGCAGGGGCAAATGGCCACAGCCCAGCTGGGAATAGAGCTTAGAAGGGGCATGTGGGTGGCACTTGCCAGGCACAGGACTGAGCCATGTCCTTGTGACTTCTCGGCTGCCATGTGGGAGGACAAGCAGGTCACAGACTGGGCTGAGCTGCTTTCCCAGCACCTGGCTGGGAGGGATGCTCTGAGTGCTGCAAACGTGTGAGACGCAGTCTTGGCTCCTGCTATCATCTGGGACAGGCATTTCCAGAAGGGATACATACCACTGCTGTAGATGTCTAAGAAAGGTGGAAAAGGGGCCTGATGATGGTGCCTGTCACTCCCCATTGTCTCTAGAGGGAGCCAGGATGAGCCATGCCCTGTAAGGAAGAAAATTTTTTGATCTCCTCTGCCTCTGCTCATTTAGACAGGCTTTGTCCTGTCCAAGGTGTCTAGTGCTTCTGTAAAAAAAAGCGAAAAAGTCTTCCCTCCTGTCCAGTGGTTCTGTCTGTCCTTCCCTGCTCCAATATTTCTCTTACAATGAATACTGGTTTTGGCTTATATGATGTCCTCTGAAGGGATGGAAAGACCACCAATGGCTTCATGTAGACCAAACCACCCTTTGGATGATATGCATCTTTAAGGCCTTGAGCAAGTTCATGCAAGTCCTCTTAAGAACAAAGTATCTTCTTCAAGAAATTCTGCTGCTAGAAAACTGCATTTTTAACCTGTTGGTATTTGAATGACACCACGCATTGATGCACTCATGTTTGTTTTAACACTTTTGTTTTCTCCTTTCCAGGTGGTTCACCAGCTGTGAGTATGAGCTCCAACAACATGTCGTTATCCAACCCAATTTCAACTCATAGCATCATGACCCAGAGCTCCAGCCTCATGTCCACCCCCGCTGGGACCCGAATGCCTTCTGTTCCTGCCGCTCGGAGTATGGGCTGCTATGGGAACCTTCCTTGCAACCAACCAAGCGCATACAACGTCACTCCAGGAATGAACCAAATGCAGCCACACAGAAACCAAAATCAAGTCCTGCCCAGTCAGAATAACCCCATGATGTCTCGACAGCAAACCATGACGCAGGGAAACAACGTAGCTGCTTTTGGGACGGGGTCGGTGGTCAACTCGCAGCAAGTAAGGCCAAGCTTGAACCACGGAGCCACAGGCATCCCCACGCAAAGGCCGGCCAACGTGATGATCACGGCTACTGCCACTGCCCAGAACTGGGCCCCACAAGAAGCTTCAGTGAAGCAGCAGGATGCACTGAAACCCTCAGGGGTCCGTTTCCCCACCGGCACTCCATATCCTAACCAGTCTTTGCAGCGCAACGTAGGCAACCAGCATTTTCCTCAGCGTGCATTGGCACCTCCTAATCAGTTAACAGCGGGAGTCCAAATGAGGCCTCCTCTAAACCAGATGCACCAGACTCTAAATGGACAATCTGCTGGCTCACTACGAGGCCTCAGCATAAGACCTAACCAGCTGAGAGGACAGACTGTGCCTACCTTGAATCAGCCAGGAACAAGTATGACACCTCCATCATCTCTGCCATCAACCAGTTTTACATCTACCAACCAAAACTCTCGGGCTTACCAAGGAAGTGACCATGGTAATGACCTAGCATTTGACTTTCTGAACCAGCAAGGTGACAGTATAGGACCTGCGCTCAACAGTGACTCAGACTTTATAGATTCTTTACTGAAAACGGAACCTGGTAACGATGACTGGATGAAAGACATCAACCTCGATGAAATATTGGGGAACCACTCGTAAGAGACAGTACCAAGGGTGAACCAGATGAAGAGGCAGGAAGGACATTAGCTTTCTCTTTAGATGCCAACAACCTGCTTTATTAATTTACACTCCAGTAACTGGGCTGTCCTTTAAAATACCACATAGGGCGACTGCCCTGTTTGAAGAGTTGCTCTAGGAACAAAACTGAAGTCTCCCCCGATGAAACGATAACGTAAGTGATATTCATGCCTGCCACAAAGGAGTGAGAATGTGTGAAGGGTCTGTTCCCCACACCAGTGCCCAGCGCATTGCAAACCCATCAGTTCTTCTCACGGGGGCTGCATGGAAAAACGTGTTTAGCTTCCCACACACGCAAGCATCAGACAGTGGTATGGGTTGTGGAACATCATTTCTCTGAGTGCAAGTAAGAGCTCAAGCGGTCCAGAGCTCTTCGGTCACTGTGATTGCAGCCCTTTACTTCCTCGGGACTACTCAGCCTTGACGGCATCAGGCCCTGTGTAAATCTCATTGTGTTACAAAAACTGTTTACTTCTGCACAGTACAAACTCACATTTGCTTTCCTGATGATTTTGGTTTAAACCTTCTATGTTCTGTAGCACACAAAAGGGTAAGTGGTCTCATCCAAGGGAAGAAGGAAACATCATCCAGTGCGTTACTCAGTGTGCTCTAGTGTTCGCTTTCTCCCTTTCATCGGTGCTTGCAGCGAGTATCAGAGAAGGCTACTGTCCTGCCAGCAGCACAATCATTTTGGGCATTGAGGGAAACATGAGATGAACTACACCAAAGCTCAGGATCCTCACTTTGCCACCTTGCCCTACCCCAGGGACTCCAGTGACTTAATGGACAACTTAAGTGAGAAGGGTGCTCACAATTTGACCCTCACCGACTACTTTCCCAGTCCAGCTTAGAGGAGGGCAAATGCATGAAGTGGCTCAGCTAAGACACTATCCTCATTTTCATCTTAACCCCCAGCGAGTGTCAGGTAGTTAAGCCCAATCCTCTTCTATCGAACAGGTTTACCCCAGCAGAAATGCCAGCATCTCTGTCTGGGGAGAGGCTACCGTTTTGATTGCATAGCATTTTGGCTCCATCCCGCTTTCCCTTTGCCATATGGGGGAAGATGAAAGAGGTCAAATGACGGCCCAGGTCCCCACAGCCTCCATCGGGCAGAGTACGAGAGGCTCTGCCTCTGAAACTAGCATGCAGATCAGTTATAACCACCTGGGTTACTCACAGGAGGAGGCTCCACTCAGCCACATCTGTGCTTGTAAATGAAACAGTCCTGGGGAATATTTCTGGGCACTGGACTCAATCACCTGTTCTGGGTTTGGGGATGGCCCAGCTAACATTGCCCTGAGAAATTTCTGTGCATCACTGGCAAGTTAACCTGGGGCAAGGACCATTCCCATAGACAGTTTGCAGCCACCTTGCCTTGGAGGCTAACAGAGCAGAGCAGTAAGGATACAGGTTATTCCACACCACTTGACCTCGGTCCAAGGGAGTAGTCTCAACTGTGTTAAATTTTCTCCTATAGACTTGGTCAGTAAGGCCATCAGAAGGAGGTGCTATGTCACTATAAAGAAGCTCCGCAGTGAGTCAGACAGGAGGATTCATAGATGGGAACAGATCTTGCAATTCAAATGAAAATGCTGTTCTTTAAAATGATGTGGTGCGACGTGTTTCACAGCCTCCTCTGAATTAGCTAAAACTAGATGTGGCAAAGGAATACAATGCCTACGTTCACATGCCTCAGTGCTAAGAGGCATTGCTCTGCCCTGTGCAAGTGCTTTATTCATCCTTGTTAGTGGCCGTGGGATGAGTAGAGTACTTGACAATAGCCGCTGCACTTATCTGACCTATTTCTCAAGAGAGGTTTTAATAAGGCTTTTCCAGTCATTTCACCCTGTCATTTCACATGGGCACAATTTTTCATGATGTTTCAAGAAGCATTGTCACACAAACAAGCACCAGCACCTTCAGGAAAGGTGTAACGTGGGCATTTAGCTAGATATGCCAGTTGAGGCGGGCTGGTCCATGATGCTGTTCATTCCCAGACATGTTTTTCATAAGAGGGACGAGAAAGCCTGCTGAAGAGTCCCTTCTGCTGCCCCAGCTAGTGATCATTGCACAGCCCTGCATTGTGTAACATGGTGGCTCAGCTGCCCAGAAAGCTCCCTCTTCTCCCCAATTTTGGCTGGGGTGCATGAGGTCCCTTTGATATGCCAGTACAAATTTTTCCAAGTCTTTAAGGAGCTTTTCAGCCCAGGTCACTGGTGCCCCACCTAAGTTTGGAGAGATACAGACATGGTCTAACAAATGAGTCCCCTATAAATTGTGCAAAACTAGACTGAAATAGTAGCTACATGAGTTTAAAGTGGAGGGAAGATCGGCTCATCAGTCTCACACACAGGCACATACCCCATCCATGAGCAGGTCAGCAGTGACTGCCAAAGCTCTGGTAGGAACAGACGACTGCGATGCCACTAAGGCCGAGGCTGAGTTAGTATCATCATGAGCAATGGGCACTGAAGTCTGGTTACTTCAACCACCCTCACGTGCTGTTGAAAAAGCCTCCATTGGTTTCTGTATTAAGACCAGATTGTTTTCCAGAACCTCAAATGATGTAAAAAAATTGTTCAGCTGAGGAGCTGGTCCCCAGACTTCAGGATATCATCCGGTGGTGGATTCAGTGCTGAGCTTTGTCCCGTTGGCCTCAGCCTGGAGTGGAGAAGATGCTGGGCTGTGAGTGCCATCCCCGGGATCAAAATTACATCCCATCTTAAGTAAATTCAACAAAGGTAGAGGCCATTTGCAGTCCTGTAAAGATATGCCTGATGCATTTGAAATGTGAGCTCGTGAAAGACTCCTGCAACCAAAACTTGAATCCAATATCATTTCTTCAGAACACTTGTATCTGAACGGAGCTAGTGTCTTTTTTCTCCTTCTTTGCAATGGCTAAGTGCACTACCCTTATAGTCTATTTTTCATCATTGACCGGGCACTCTTCTCAGTATTGGGTTGTAAATATAAAGAATTATTTGTTTTGTAAACTTTTGTAAAAAAAAAAACCAAAAAGTAATAATATTTTGGTAGGAATAATAAAAATCATATTATTTGGGTTATATTTATACATATGTGAAATAAATATACTATCAAAAAGTTGTATTTTATACAAAAAGTCAACGGTTACCTTTTGTATTCTATATACAAAGTTTTGTATGATACGATTGTTTATTTTTATCTGCAGACTTCAACTTTGGATTTTGGGGGAGGGCAGAATGGGATCGTGGTTAAATAGCTGGGTCTGACCCCAAGCTCACTGAAACCAATGGAGTCTTTCCATTGCCTTCACAGGGCTTTGAATCAAGCCTTTAAATCACCTTCAGATATGTTTGACATCTGAAGCTCTCTGGAAACCTCAACATGAAAACATTCCAGGTTTCAAATTTTTTCCCTGAAAAAGGCTTTTATTATTATTAATTATTATTATTATTGTTATTATTATTGTAACTCTTGGGAGGCAGGTGGGACCTATGTAACTGTCATGTCCTTGTTGCATGTATGTCTGCTTTATATTTTCCCCATATTATAAACCAGTGTTTCTCTATACAGACTGAAAGGAAAAGTTGCTGTACAGAAATGTTTGTGTTTATGCATTTTTACATGTGGCTGTATATACCTCCTAGTACTATGCAGTGACACTTATTTGACTCCATTTATTTTTCACCTAAACATGAATAGTATGTTTTTCAGTAGCTATCAAAACTCTGCCAAGTAAATAAATCAAAATTATCCCAAGTGTCTCTTTTCTTAATATGAATTTTATAATGAATATCTGTTTAGACAACTGCTCGTTCATCTGAGTAAATTAAAATTACAGTGATATTTTAGGAGGGGGTGAGAAAAATGTGCATCTGGCAGCTTCTGGGAGCTCAGTCTGCCCCTTTGCAAAAGAGCTGCAATGTTTTCCTACTGACTGAAGACATGGTTATAGTAGCTACATGAGTTTAAAGTGGAGGGAAGATCGGCTCATCAGTCTCACACACAGGCACATACCCCATCCATGAGCAGGTCAGCAGTGACTGCCAAAGCTCTGGTAGGAACAGACGACTGCGATGCCACTAAGGCCGAGGCTGAGTTAGTATCATCATGAGCAATGGGCACTGAAGTCTGGTTACTTCAACCACCCTCACGTGCTGTTGAAAAAGCCTCCATTGGTTTCTGTATTAAGACCAGATTGTTTTCCAGAACCTCAAATGATGTAAAAAAATTGTTCAGCTGAGGAGCTGGTCCCCAGACTTCAGGATATCATCCGGTGGTGGATTCAGTGCTGAGCTTTGTCCCGTTGGCCTCAGCCTGGAGTGGAGAAGATGCTGGGCTGTGAGTGCCATCCCCGGGATCAAAATTACATCCCATCTTAAGTAAATTCAACAAAGGTAGAGGCCATTTGCAGTCCTGTAAAGATATGCCTGATGCATTTGAAATGTGAGCTCGTGAAAGACTCCTGCAACCAAAACTTGAATCCAATATCATTTCTTCAGAACACTTGTATCTGAACGGAGCTAGTGTCTTTTTTCTCCTTCTTTGCAATGGCTAAGTGCACTACCCTTATAGTCTATTTTTCATCATTGACCGGGCACTCTTCTCAGTATTGGGTTGTAAATATAAAGAATTATTTGTTTTGTAAACTTTTGTAAAAAAAAAAACCAAAAAGTAATAATATTTTGGTAGGAATAATAAAAATCATATTATTTGGGTTATATTTATACATATGTGAAATAAATATACTATCAAAAAGTTGTATTTTATACAAAAAGTCAACGGTTACCTTTTGTATTCTATATACAAAGTTTTGTATGATACGATTGTTTATTTTTATCTGCAGACTTCAACTTTGGATTTTGGGGGAGGGCAGAATGGGATCGTGGTTAAATAGCTGGGTCTGACCCCAAGCTCACTGAAACCAATGGAGTCTTTCCATTGCCTTCACAGGGCTTTGAATCAAGCCTTTAAATCACCTTCAGATATGTTTGACATCTGAAGCTCTCTGGAAACCTCAACATGAAAACATTCCAGGTTTCAAATTTTTTCCCTGAAAAAGGCTTTTATTATTATTAATTATTATTATTATTGTTATTATTATTGTAACTCTTGGGAGGCAGGTGGGACCTATGTAACTGTCATGTCCTTGTTGCATGTATGTCTGCTTTATATTTTCCCCATATTATAAACCAGTGTTTCTCTATACAGACTGAAAGGAAAAGTTGCTGTACAGAAATGTTTGTGTTTATGCATTTTTACATGTGGCTGTATATACCTCCTAGTACTATGCAGTGACACTTATTTGACTCCATTTATTTTTCACCTAAACATGAATAGTATGTTTTTCAGTAGCTATCAAAACTCTGCCAAGTAAATAAATCAAAATTATCCCAAGTGTCTCTTTTCTTAATATGAATTTTATAATGAATATCTGTTTAGACAACTGCTCGTTCATCTGAGTAAATTAAAATTACAGTGATATTTTAGGAGGGGGTGAGAAAAATGTGCATCTGGCAGCTTCTGGGAGCTCAGTCTGCCCCTTTGCAAAAGAGCTGCAATGTTTTCCTACTGACTGAAGACATGGTTTCATCACCAGCAAGGGTTAACAAATAACACATGGTGTTTTGGCTCCTGGTGAATGGGTTGGTGTAATCTTGCAGCACAGCAATTTGCTCTGGGGTCCTG